CGTGCAGATTAATAACCATTATTATTGCAGAATTATAACACTGAATGAAGATGTGACTTAAATGGAAATATCGTAATATTACCTAAATAAAAAAACGCTGGTCACTGTTGATTGATTAAGTCTAACAATATAGTATTTACGCACGCCTGCGTAGATGTATATGAGTGTGTGTGTGCGTGAGTGTATATATGAATCAATATAAATCCAAACTGGGGAAGCTAGAAACTCCAAACTTTAGCAGCGTTTCAAGCAATTAAATTTACAGGACAAAAGTTTAAGAACAAAGTATATTGTATGCATGAGCGCAATAGAACTCAAGGCGAAACATAGACAACAGCTCTATACATTACACACATGTTACCCGTGCAATCAAATTTTAGATAAAAGGATAAAGTGGCCAAATCAACAAGCATTTTACCCGCTTATAACTATGCAACCACAAGGCCTACATTACGACTCTGAGGATTGATAAAGATATATTGATAATGATGAAATTTTGGCTCAGGTTAGCATATTTTCCGGGTGCTGTAAACTGTAATAATGTACTTACCAAAGATGTACACATGGTCCATCACCATTAGGCTCACCCTTAGCAAATGGTTGATATGTAGCCATGGAACCACTCATTGTCAATAGCAGACTGCCAACGGTTCTGGGGCCAATCCAGATATTTTGATTGGTAATACCTTGTTGTTGCATCTTTTCTAGTATAGTATAATGAACATTCTCATCTCTCAAGTCAGTTAGCATCATACCCTGATCCATGCAGGACTTGGCTGCTTCTCTGTACTTCTTCTTATCAGTGAATATGCGGTATTGGTTGTCAAATATAGGTGTGCTCACAGCAGATTCTTTGTGAAAAAATGGATGCGTAAGTTATTAGTTGTATGTTTCTTACATATGCACTACTGTGTGAATGAGTGTTTGGTAGACTAATATTAAAGATATCTTTTTCCCAAGTATAATATCATGTTTAACTTCTGATACGTCAATGCTAACTTACCATCGTAGCATACGTATCCCATCTTCGTACTACATTTGTCATCGTCCCATTGATATCCTTTTGATTTCCTGTCGAAGATAACAACTAACTATTACTCAAAATGAAAACGTGAGGTTGCATATCGAATTCAAATTATACTAATGAAATAGTGCTTTCACAAAAGTAAAATATATGAAACACGTCCAGCTAGTGGCTAACATGGT